GGAAATCTATTTCGTTCTTCCATTCAGTCGCTGAAGAATGGAAACCAATGCAAAGATATGGCAAAAGATATTCAATGTTACTTCCGGTATATATAAACACATTCGTTAAGTCAAGAATAATTGATTCAGGATCCAAGAATTCATGATTAGAAAGAGTTATAATTTTGAATAAACCAAAAATACAAATAGAAAACAAATTCAAGTCTATTTTGAGTCCAATAGTTCTACAATTGGTTGTCAGACTGTTTCGCAATAGACTTAAGGCACAGAATATTCTGTTAAGAATTTAGCACAGAATCGTTTAAAATGGTACAAATGGATGAATAGGGCAATGCATACAATCATTTGGATGGGAAGGCATACCTGGATATAGTCTAAGGAAGCCTCGACTGGAGCCGAAGAACTGCCAACTGAGGCCAGGATCGAAGGCCAGGTTGTTCTTGAAGAATGGAGTCAACGCTTCCGACCACTTTATGTCATTGACAATGTCTGCGGCCCTCTCGTAGACATTGATGGGCACGTGAACCGCACTCTTCTCGAGGTTGACGTTCGCGCCCTCGAAGTTGGGGTGAGGACTGAGTTCAATGGTCTTCCACTCGACCCCATCGTCGTTATGGTTGGTCGGCGTCTCTCCCTCGCGATTGTCGTACAGGCGCTTCATATTCAGGTAATCCATGTCCAGGTTCTTGTCCACTGAGAGTATGGCAAACGTTGAGCGCATAATGAGTGGTGAGACAAGTGGTGACAAACTCACCGAAAGTGTGGTTAGCGGCCAGACGTTGGCTCTCATTGGCGATGCGCTCGACGGCGTGCTTCTTCCAGTTCAAGGTATTCATCACATCATTCCTCATGTCTTCCATCATCTTATTCGAGTCAAACCAAACCACTCGCGCCTTCATGTCCTCGAAGTTGGACGTGATTTTGCGGACACACGTCGACTCCGCCGACCCCTCGTAGATGTCTTTCCCGAACCGGAGGGCAAGGTTACGCACTTCGTACGGATCTATGGACACCTGCGCTGATGCCGTCGTCACCAGTGACACCACTAAGACAATGAGTGGCCAAATGGCGGTTGTGGTCATTGTGGCCATCATTTTGTCTTCAG